ACTAGACGACCTGAAAGGTCCCTTCCAACCTAGGAAATTCAATGATGCTGGCATGGTTTATAAAGGACAGAGATTTTGGAGTGAAATTGTTGCCTTCAGCCCTGGTTTCTTAAGAAATGGGTTGTGTCCGGTTGCACTGGATCCCTGCAGACCTGGATCTGGGTTTTAGACATAACGTGGCTGAATGTGTTGCATCAGGGAGGAAAACCCCTCAAAGAAAGTGGAGGGAGACAGAGAAATACAAGCAGAAAGATTATGTATTTGTTTAGTTCTTGCAGTTTTGCTGTAAAACCTTTTTAAAAAAATTCAGCACTAATCACAGCAAGTACCAACAGCTGTCCTGCTTGGATACATCTCTGCCCTAAACCTGCTGAATTTGGGGCTTCAGCTCCCTCTTCCTTGGAGGGAAACAGAGACAGGCTGGGATGATGGAAATACCTGTTACTCAGGTTCTCTTTTTTAACAAAAATCTCACATTGTGAGGGATATGAATTCCTGCACAGAAAGATCCTGCTGCCAGGGGGAAGTGGTGCCAGGGGAAGCTCCAGAAATAGGCAGCATCTGATTTTAGGGAAGAGGGTTAAATTTGCTTTCCTGGCTTTCTGGTTGACATTTACTGGGTTATGTCACTGGTGTGAGTGGCTCGTTCAGTCCCCTCAAGGCTGGAATCGACCGAGAGCTTTAGGAACCGGGGGAGGATGGCTTTCTGCATCAATGATGGACTCATTTGGAGATGCAATTATTTATACCAGGATGACTGGCTCTGGCCATCTTAGGAGCTTAAGCACCACATGCTCACAAGAAGGTGACACCTTTGCCTTGAGGGCTTATAATCTACTTTTCAAAAGCTTCTGACAATAGAGGGAATCGGGCTGCCAAGTAATAGTGCCGTGGGGTTAGAGAGACTACCCAGCACATGGCAACGGGTCAACAAAAGAAGGATATCAACCTGTTGGAGTGGGTCCAAAGGAGGCCACAAAGATGATCAGAGGGTTAGAGCACATCTGCCTTGAGGACAGGCTGAGAGAGTTGAGGTCGTTCAGCCTGGAGAAGACTCTGGGGGGGACCTTATAGCAGCTTTCCAGTACCTGAAGGGTGCCTACAAGAAAGCTGGAGAGGGACTTTTTACAAGGGCATATAGTGACAGGGTGAGGGGTAATGGCTTCAAACTGAAAGAGGGGCGATTTAGGTTAGATCTCAGGAAGACATTTTTCACTCTGAGGGTGGTGAGAGCCTGGCCCAGGTTGCCCCGAGAAGCTGTGGCTGCCCCATCCCTGCAGGGGTTCAAGGCCAGGCTGGATGGGTCTTTGAGCAACCTGGTCTGGTGGGAGGTATCCCTGCCCAGGGCAGGAGGATTGGAACTGGGTGATATTTAAGGTCCCTTCCAACTCTAACCATTCTAAGATTCTATGCTATTGTGGGGCACGATGTTATAGAGAGCACTTCTTCTGACGTCTGCGCTGTTTGCTGATTCAGAGCAGCCAGTGATGCTCATCCATCTGTGATGCTCTTTCAAGAGGATGCTTTTCACATCCAGTGGTGGTGTGATGCAGATGACGTTACAGCTCCAGAGTGTGTATTTGGATGGTCGGACCTTAAATGTCATCCTTTCCTTAGAACAGTTTAAAAATGCTGCTTCCTCTGCACAGCTGCAGTTTTCAACACAGTTCTGATTGGACTTTATTTGACTTGTGTTTGGGATCATTTTCCTGGGAAAGGAATGGATGTGCCTCTTATCTGAGCAGCTGCACTGCAGCCCTGGTGGAGTCCAGTTAAGGTTTCCCCTTCTTGAAGGTTGAAGTGTGGTCTGCAGTCTCTCTAGGGGCTAGAGGTGAGGCAGGAGTGGGATATTCCTCTCCTGGGGCTGATATTGTCTCTCCATGGGATTAAGCTCAGTGGCATCTGAGTGCTGAAGATGGGATGGTCACACTGCTCTGAGTTTTAAAAATCAAAGAAAATTTCCATTTTTAAATCACCGCAACCCATATTTTAGCACTATCCCTAAGATGCAGTTCTACTTACATCACTACTGTCGTTAAGAACAACTGTACTATTTCACATGGCCAAATTTGTCCAGTTTGGGAAACAAATTTCAGCCTGAAATTTACTTTTCCCCAGCCCCACTGAGGGAGGCATTGACTTGCCACCTCAGATCTGTTTGGGTCTATGTTTCCTTCGAGTGCCTCCAGCAGTGGTGTTGGGGGCTCCCCTGTCATTTAGGTTGAACTTCCCCTGCGTCTCAAACCAACTGCATCTCAAGAGGGCTGGTATCCAAACAAGGCTTTGACCGTCGCCCTGCAGAAACTGAAATGCACTTGAAAGAGGCAAGAAACATTCTAAATCTTGTTATAAAACAGCAGAGCCTATGCCCTCTTTGGGTTAAGATTCTGCTGGGTCAGAGTTTGGTGTACAGGTAAGACATGAGAAGACATTGGTCATGCTGATCCACCTCTGTAGGGGTGGAATACTGTTGTAGCCATCCTTGTTTGCCTTTGTTAGCCCTGATTCATGCAATATGAGTTCTTCATTGTGTAGGTGGTTAGCAGTGTCTCCCTACACGTCATTGTGTTTCACATTGATTGCTTAGTGGAGGTAGTCCAACGTCCCCTTTCCAGGCTCCCTTAGCCTGAGAGAAGATTTACAACTCAACACACTTTGCTTTTCTAGTCCTTGTATGATCCACATCCCTGGCAAGACTGCTTATAGAATCATAGAATCATATCATAGAATGATTTTGGTTAGAAGTCACCTTAAAGACCATCCAATTCCAACCTCCCCTGCCCTGGGCAGGGACACAGGTTAGAAGGCACCTTAAAGACCATCCAATTCCAACCCCCCTGCCCTGGGCAGGGACACCTCCCACCAGACCAGGTTGCTCCAAGCCCCTTCCAACCTGGCCTTGAACCCCTCCAGGGATGGGGCAGCCACAACTTCTCTGGGCAACCTGGGCCAGGCTCACAGCAAAGAAGTTCTTCCCCAGATCTCATCTAAATCCCCTCTCTTTCGGTTTAAAACCGTTACCCCTCGTCCTATAGCTACAGTTCCTGATAAGGAGTCTAGGAGTGTGTGTTCAGTTGCTGCTTGATGTGGTGTCACATCGCTACAGTTCCTGATAAAGAGTCCAGGAGTGTGGGTTCAGTTGCTGCTTGATGTGGTGTCACATCTTGAGTTGAGACTCACATGGCATCCACCGGCAACCCTTTTGGACTCAGGCTGATGGTTTTGCGTTGCTCCTCGGTTTCTCTAGCTCTGTTATCTCCACTTTATTTCCTTGTGATTGCTGTGCTCTCCGAAAGCAAATATCGAGCATTACTCTGTCTGGAGAGGATCACCTTGCAGTGTTATCCCGAGGAAACCCGAGCTACTTGCAGGAGGAAAGCCGAGATGCTGAAAGCAACCCAAGGAGATGGAGCAGGTCTGCCTGGATGGGATCTCTGGATCTTTATGTGGCTGCTGCTCCCTGCTGACAGCTCTGGGCATCGTGAATATATTGCAAAAAGCTCTTTCAGCTCGACCTTGCGTGACCCAGCGCTGGGCTGTGCAAGGAGGCTGTGATGGGGGTGTTTCCTCTGGCGTCTCCTAGACAAGTCAGGCTTTGATTGGGAGCTTTTTTTGGAAGATAACATACCCCTGTGTTGAACAAACAGAAAAATGAACTATTATTGATGCGTGGCTTGAGCCAGGGGAATTCAGAAGAGAGATACTGGAGCTATGTGAAGGTTGTGTTGGTGACGGGGGGGTGGAACTGGATGATTTTTAAGGTCCCTTTCAACCCAAACCATTCTATGATTCTGTGAAATGATTCTCTGGGACACCTTAAACTCTTGAGCAGTTTCTTTGTATTTATTGGGCGTGTTGCTTGTGTGGTGCGTTTAGGCCTTTGTTCTTAATTTTCCCTCTTTCCAAACCCTGAGGAATTCCTGAAAATCATGGGTAGTGAGTGCTCGTTGTGTCTTGATGGAAACTTACTGATCCTGGTGGTGGCAGAGATGAGTGAAAAAACAGGATGTTACAGGTGCTCTAAACCTGAAAGCAAAATTGGAAAAAAGAAAATTATTTTTAAAAATAGCTTTATTTTGACACACTCATGTTTCAGTGTAGAAAGCCTGCCAGGTTTTCTTTCCACAGTTGTCTGTTGGTTTTTGGGGTTTTTTTTCTGCACTGCCTGCCTGTTGTTGGTTTATGGACCTTTTGGGACTTGCTATAATGTACTGGTTGTGTAGAAAAACAAAATATTTGTCTTCAAATATATTGTTTTTAAACAAACCTGAATTCTATTACTGTCTGCTCCATTCTACAGGAAGGAATTCGAAATAAAATTTGAGTCCTTATCTGTGATAGCCATAGGGATAAATTTTCTAAGCTTAAGGCTATTTTTTGAATTGTTAAAACTGGCTGGAACATTTGTTATTACATCTAAAAATTAGTTGATTCCTTTAATAGGTGTAATAGTATGACTTTATGGAATGAGTAGATGTGGAAATAAAATGTATGCTACAGAACCTGTGGTCTAGTTGTTCTCCGTGGTATGGATAATACCTTGGTTTATGGATTTTCTTTCTATAAGGGCATTGGAGTCACTGTTTGCATAGAAAATTAGGGGAATGAAGAACTCTGAAGGTAGTTTAGAGAGCTCTATATATAACCTGTGGGTAGAGAATTGGCATCACGTTAACAATTGCTTTCTGGGGTTCTCCAGCAAAACACTGTTTGGGGGACCATGCTGCTGAGCAAGTCTATCATACACTAATTTTGCACCAGACTTCGAGCTAGCCAGGTTTCTGGTGTTGCAGGTTATGATAACTCTGGATTGGACTCTGTCCTATGTGATGTGAAAGACCATCAGTGGAGTCAAATGCATTGGTCATCTTCAGACGTTAGTAAGATGCCATTCTGCCTGGGGCATGAACCTTCCTCCCAGCATCCTTGCTGACACTGCTTCGTAAAGGTTTCCACTTACTAGTAATCTCTCCTTGCTCATTGTTTTTTTTTCCCCATAGTTGGCACCAGAAAACACCCTGATGTCCTTCCAGAAGGCGGTGGAGCAGAAGACATATGGAGTCCAAGCTGACGTTGTACTGAGGTAAGCCAGAGTGCTGGTTGGTCTGAGACTTTATCTGTGGGTGGCCCAAACCATACTGGTGGGACTTTCCTATCTGGTGTGTGTCTGGTTGTTACAGCTTTTTCCCGTGGAAAAGGGTGTATTTTCTTTTTCCCTGACCACTTTGGAGGTTGGTGTTAATGGAAAGATATTTTTGCCTGGTGGAAGATTGGCTTCTGAAGTTTGTTAGTGTGCTGCCTCTTCTTTCCATAATTGTTTTGAGAGCAAATAATGTAAAAACTAAAGAAATTTCTTCCACCTAGGGAGCGGAAGGTTGTTGTGGAAGGTGAGGTGTGAATTTGGATATATGTGTTAGAATCATGATACAATTCTTCTTTCAAAAATTACTTCATTAACTGTTGTGAAGGGATGACTACGTGCCTGTCCAAACTCATTATGAGCACCTCGTGTGGTGGCTGAATTGGTTGCTTCCCTTAGCACTGGCCAAGGAGAAAGGTGATCTGTTGGGAGGAGGAGGAGAGCTGGAAAAGCTCCAAGAGCTTTCCATGTTGCCACTCATCAGCTGTCCCAGAGGAGCACTCCCAGCATCCCATAGGTTAAACAGTGCCCTTGGTTGGCCCAGTTATCTGAGGCCCTCTCCAGGAGAGCCAAGTCTCTTCCTAAAAAAGAGGGCTCCAGTGACCTTCAGACCAAAAAGTGAGCTATCAAGGCTCCAGTGACCTTCAGACCAAAAAGTGAGCTATCAACACAGCTGGCAACAACTTTGGGAAGGGCTTGCAGTACAGCACCCATCGCTGTCCTTATCCTTGGTGTTGGGGGATATGATGTAGGGGAGAACTTTGTAGAGTAGGGTTGATGGTTGGACTTGATGATCTCAAGGGTCTTTTCCAACCTGAATGATTCTATGATCCCTCGGAAAGATGCTCTTTGTGGCTGTGTCTGGATGAGTCCTGGGATGTTTCCATGGCATGTATCAGCCATGGGTGGGCTGCTTGGACATATACTCAGACCTATCACATCCTGCTCTCTACCCACGACACACCTCAAACTGGGTGGTTACAAATCCAGCCCTGGTTCTAAAGCCAACTTTGCTTCAAGCAGCAGGAGTATAATATCGCTGCATGTTCCTCTAATCTTCTACCTCCTCTCACATCTCTTCTTCTAAAGCTCTGATTTCTGCCTCTGAATTATTATTATTTGTTGTTTTTTTTCAAACCTGTGCCTGCTAATACATTGTGGTTAACCTCGGGTAGTGATGAGTGACTCCTTAAGGGGAAGGATTAGTAGGTGCCCCATAGAATTTCCACACTGTGGTTAAGGCTTAGCTGTATCTGATGATGCTCTGCTATGAGACGTTAAGACTTGAGCTCCTATCTCCCTTAAACACTCCACGCTCTTAATTCTGCAGTTGCTTAGCATCTTTTTTTTTTTTTTTTTTAAAAAAAAAAAAAGCCCTCTATTTAGTAAAAACCCTTCTTATTGCTGCTGAGCCTGGTATTGCGTATTTAGTAAAAGCCCTTCTTATTGCTGCTGAGCCTGGTATTGCTGTGTCAGCATGTTCCTTTGGGTTTTAGGGAGGGAAGCAGTTGGCACAGTGCACGCTAGAAATAGCAAATAAAGATGCCAGTGACCTTTGTGATAAGGGACTTCTGCAGGCAATGGTGAAGCTGAAGCAGCATTTGCTCCATCATCTAACACTGTTTTTTTGTTTTCCCTCTGGCTCTAGGGGGTGAGTGTTCTTCTATGTTGTCTCCTAATTCAAATGGGTTTTGTATTTTAACCCCGTCTCCTTTCCAGACCTTATCTGTGTCTCCTGTTATGAAGATGGGCTCTGTGCTTTGGAAAATGTTGTCATTGGGCTGGCTGTGCTGGGTTTATCTTGATTTCTGAGTGCAGAAAACTGTCCCCCTGCCCTTGATAGACACCCTCATTGCCCTGTGTGGTGTTACCACTGATTCAACCAGAGAAAACTGGGCTGGAATAAAGTTTTAAAGAGTTTTTACGTTTCCCAGAACCATTGTTCTGTAATATCTACATGGCTTAAAAATAACCAGGCATGCATTTAGCTATTTAGTTTCATGTGAGAGGTGGGTTTTCTTTGAGGTATATGAACTTAACAACTCATTCCTGTTTCCTGAATGCAATTTTCAATTGGAAAAGGCAATTTCAGGGAGACTTTGGGAGCTTGGAACCCTTGCATTTTGTTGAAAGCCCATGAACATTCAGTTCTTGCGGAGTCTGAAAATCTTACTCATCATCTACTATAAACAATTTGAGAATAGTTTGTGTGGATCTGTGTACACAGGGTATGGAAAACCTCTAACATTATTTGGAGCTATAAACATTGCAGAAAGCTTTGGTTGACATGAGCATTCAAGGTGGGTGTTCTTGTCCAAGCTACCTGAGTTTGGCTCTCTAGAAATTTTTGAGGCATTAGTGGGGAAGAGGGAGGGAGGGATGGATAGGGTTATGTCAGCATCTGAACGGCTGCAAACATCTAGCAGGTATCTAAGAGACTGTTTCCTCTGGCTGCATCTAATTTCAACTGGTCTTGAGGGTGCTGGAGATGTTAAGCTGGTTGAGATCTTCACAATGACTTTGATACAAAGAGAGAGGCTGGAGTGGGAACATGCATTTCTCTGGTACTGTGTGCATGGTTGTGCACCTCCCCCTTCAATGGGACCTCTGACTGTCTTTGCAGCTATGACGGAGTGCCATTTCTGATGCATGACAAGACACTCAGGAGAACAACAAACGTGGAGGAAGTGTTCCCAGAGCGGGCCTACGAGCACTCCTCCATGTTCAACTGGACTGACCTGGAAAAGCTCAACGCTGGAGAGTGGTTCCTACGGGTGTGTATGGCCTTGGGAGAGGGTGTCCTGGAGCTGTGGACGTGGGATGAAAGTTCATGTCCAAACCCTCTCTTCAAGGTGGAGAGGTGTAGATTCATCTCCTCAGTGGAGTGGTCTGATGTGCAGCTAGAACAAGAATTCATGAACCACATCTAGTTCTGTTCACGTTGTTTTTCTGTGCTTTTTCCACCACTTGGCAGAAGGGTGGAATGCTCTGTTAAGGTTAACGCCTGATTGACACCACAAAGAACTTCAAGACCCCCAGGAGGATGAATATGCAGTTATAAAGAGAACAGAAAAGACAGTGTGTTATATGATGTTCCTTTTTACTTTAATTTACTTTTGGAGACACCTGTCTTTACAAAGAAAAAGCAAGAAATGCAGCCTTCGAAGTCCAGGGGAAGAAGAACTGCTGTGGGATGGACTTGACCCATCCTTCAGTGTTCAGCCAGGTTGTAGGTGGGACTTCTTTTTACCAAGCTGCTCCCTGTCCAGTAGCTGTAACCTTCTTGGAGAGCGTTAGCTATGATCTAGAAAGAGGGCTGCAGCCTTCTGGTGCCCTCATGCAAGCTTGAATGCAGCTTGCTGAGGTGTTGCTGCAGTGATGCAAGCTCGGGTACCTCTTTCACATGGCTGCTGGAAGATCTCCAGGTGCTCTCTTGGTGCAAGCCTGAAGCCACCGTAGCTTCACTGCTGTTCTGGACTGAGCCAGAGAGGTGGGGATGTCTATGTATTACAGCTGCACAGGAACTTCCTTGGCCCACAGATGTGGTTGTGGGAATGCAGGGAAGCAGCTGCTTGCACGATGAGAAGGGCCAAGAGAACATCTAGGCGGCTTCTTTTTGGGATGTACTTGGAAGCAGTCATTCCTGAATGTCCTTAAGTCAGTAGCCCATCTCTTCCAACAGCCCATACATGGCTCCTGCCTGAACACTTTTAGCGATATAATCATAGAAGGGTTTGGGTTGGAAGAGGGCCCACACGTAGCTCCTGTCTGAACACTTTTAGCAATATAGTCATAGAATCATAGAAGGATTTGGGTTGGAAGAGACCTTTAAAGGCCGTCTGGTCCAATCTCCCCTGCCGTGAGCAGGGACGATCTTCAGCTGGATCAGGTTGCTCAGAGTCCCATCCAACCTGTGTCCAATTTCCCCTGCCATAAGTAGGGACAATCTTCAGCTGGATCAAGTTTCTCAGAGGCCCATCCAACCTGGCCTGGAATGTTTGCAGGGGTGGGGTACCTCTCATCTCTCTGGGTAAACTGGGCCAAGGTCTCACCACCCTCAGCATAAGGTACTTATCTCTCTGGGCAACCTGGGCCAAGGTCTCACCACCCTCAGCATAAAATATTTCTTCCTTAGATCTAGTCTCAATCTTCCCTCTTTCAGTTTAAGACCATTACCCCTCGTCGTATCAAAACAGACCTGCTGAAGAGTCCCTCCCCATCTTTTTCATAGCCCCTTTAAATATTGAAAGGCCACAATTAATGTCTCCCCGGAGCCTTCTCTTCTCCAGGCTGAACCCCCCCAACTCTCTCAGCCTGTCCTCCCAGCAGAGGGGCTCCAGCCCTCCCAGCATCTCTGTGGTGGCCTCCTCTGGCCCTGCTCCAACAGGTCCATGTCTCTCCTGTGCTGAGGCCCCAGAGCTGGAGGCAGCACTGGGTGGGGGGTGTCTCCCTAGAGCAGAGCAGAGGGGCAGAATCCCCCCCATTTCCCTGCTGGCCACGCTGCTGGGGATGCAGCCCAGGATTTTGGGGGCTTTCTGTGCTGACAGCACACGTTCCCGGCTCATGTTGAGCTTCTTATCCACCAATACACCCAAGTTCTTCTCAGCAGGGCTGCTCTCCATCTCTCTATCCCCAGCCCATGCTGATACTGGGAGTTGCCCTGACTCAGGTGCAGGACCTTGCACTTGGCCTTGTTGAATGTCGTGAGGTTCACACAAGCCCACTGCTTGAGCCTTTCCAGACTTTCCAGGTCCCTCTGGGTGGCATCCTGTCCATTGGGTGTGTCAATGGCATCACTCAGCTTGGTGGTGTCTGCAAACTTGCTGAGGGCACACTCAATCCCACTGCTTGTGCCATCAATGAAGATATTTAACAGTACTGGTCCTAATGTGGGCACCTGAGGGACACCGCTTGTCACCAATCTCCATCTGGTCCTATTTGTTTCTGGATTCTGAAGAATCCTTCATGATCATGTACATAGAGTGAGAAAGTACATTTTTTTAGTGTACTATATTGGAAAATTATATTACTGCTTTATAGCCCTGTACTCCTGGAAATGAGGTGACCTGCCTCACACACCTTACTTTCAGTTAGGATCTGTCACTTGTCCTTGGGTAGGGAAACTGAGGCACAGAGCTTTAGCAAGCTGCAAGGTGGTCATCAAGCATGGCTGCCAGCATCCCCCACTGTTGTCAAGGTGGTACAGAAAAGGGTCTTCACCTATATTCAAGGAGTCTGGGCTTTGTGGTGCTAATGTCAGGGTACGTTTTGCTTTCAGAATGACCCTTTCTGGACGGCCGGGTCTCTCTCAAGGTCTGACTACTTGGAAGCTGCCAACCAGTCAGTCTGCAAGCTGGCAGATATGCTAGAGGTGATCAAGGACAACACATCGCTCATCCTGAACTTCCAGGACCTGCCACTGGCTCATCCCTACTACAGCACTTACATCAACATCACCCTGGAAACCATCCTGGTGTCGGGAATTCGGCAACACGCTGTGAGTTCTGTGGGGTTGGTGATGTTTCCAAAATTGACCTTTTCATGGGTTCCCCAAATCCTGAAGTGTCTCATTTGATGCATTTGAAGACATGATTTGAAATGCCACTTCATGCCAAGAGGTGTTACCTGGGAGGGTTTTGCCTTCAGGATGGTGGTCCCAGAGGCTTGATAATGTCTTGGGCTGTACTCAAGGTAGTATAACCAGTAGATGGAGGAAAGTGATTATTCCCCTTGGTCAGCAATTATGTGTTCAGTGTGGGGCTCACCAGTACGAGACAGTGTTGGTAAACTGGAGCAAGTCCCCCAGAGGCCACCAAACTGATCAAGGTGCTGAATGTATGAGGAGGGGCTGAGGGAATGGAGTCCCTTCATCTTGGAAAAGAACATACTTTGGAGAAGCTTAATTTGGCCTTCTATTTCTCTCTCTCTCCAGTAGAGAGGTTGTTGAGAAGTTGGATCAAAGCTCTTCACTGAGCTGTGTGTCAGGAGGATGAGAAAGAATCATCATAAATTGGAACAGGAGAGGCTTTTGCTGGATATAAGGAAACTAGTTTTCCCTGTGAGGGCAGGCAAATGTTGAGATGACTCTGGAGAGATCGAGGGATCTCCATCCTTGCAGCTTTTCAAGACCCAACTGGACAAAGCCCTGAGCAAACCTGGTCTGAAATCAGTACTGGCCCTGGTTTGTGTTGGAGTAGAGATCTCCTGAGGGTCCCTTCCCACCAAGCAAGTCAATAAGAGCCTTGGACACACAAGAAGAGTCTGAGACCTGGAGGCCAGTTGTGAGCAGCAGAGAACCTTTCCTCTCCTTAGAATCATAGAATAGTTTGGGTTGGAAGGTACCTCTAAAGGTCATCTAGTCCAACTCCCCTTCCAGGGAGTCTCCTTCTGACTCCTTGGTTTTAAATAATCATTCTCCCTGCGTTGAACAACTGTTTCAGCTTTGACTCAGCTTCTATTTGGAGAAGAAATGGGTGTCCTGGAGATTAGGGGTTTTCAACAAAAGGAGGCCTATATATATGCAGAGATTCTCTTCCAGACTTCCATTTCTGTCCCAGAATTATTGTTGCTGGCCTAAAGCAAGCATTTTAATTTCCAGCTCTGTGCTTTTGCGATCACAGAGTAGAATAGACTCATAGAATCTTTTTGGTTGGAAGAGACCTTTAAGATCACCAAATCCAACTATTAACCTCACACTGCCAAGTTACTAAACCACATCCCTCAGCACTACAGAATCACAGAATGATCTGGGGTTGGAAGGGACCTCTGGAAATCAAGTCCAACATCCCCACCGGAGTGGGTCTACCTAGAGCAGGTTGCATGGGATCTTGTCCAGGCGGTTTTTGAATGTCTCCTTTTTTAATAGTCACTCAGAGCTGGGTAGTCTGTGTGTCCCTTGGAAAACTTCTTCATGACCTCTCTTTGGAAGAAAGTCTGGTCCTTTTCACTTGTCCTGGCCCCCTTGGTCAGCAATTATCTGTTCTCTTCTTGAGGGAGAGCACCACTTCCTATGTGTCAGATGGTCACTCAGAGCTGGGGACTCTGGGTGTCCCTTGGAAAACTTCTCCATGACCTCTCTTGAGAAGAAAGTCTGGTCCTTTTCACTTGTCCTGTGCTCTCCCTTGGATATGGACTGGTTGTAAATAGCAGAGTGAGGCTGGTAAGCAGAATAACTGCATCACTCACAGCTTAGATATCTCATCTGTACCAATTAAGTGTATCTGCATGCACAGACAAGTTCAGCGCTGACTTCTACAGTGATGGGCCCAGGAGGAGCTATTTTTAGCTTCCATCTGTCTCTCTAATGACAGACAGTGCCACCCAATTTCCAATTAACTATGTGGCTGCGATGATGGTGTTATCTACAAGCCTCTGCCCGCTCTGGTAGATCCAAGGGAGGACCATGCTGTCTTACCCTTGGCTATTAGAATGGAGAATGGGAGAAAAATAGTCGAAATATAGATGTGGGGTTGTGAAGTGATTTTTCTCACCCAGGCTTTATGGTTCCCTATTGAAAATGCTTATGGCTGCATCTGTGCTGCTCTGATGCTTTGGTAGATGAGTGTCAAGGAGTTATTAAACATAGGTTAAAGCAGTGCTGAGATCATCTGGTTGGGCTCAACCTCTGCACAGCACAAGCTGTAAAACTGCCCTGCTGGGTTCCTACATCCGCTTTACACCTGGCAGCTGAGCAAATTAATCACTGTTAACATGACACGCTTTCAAAGCGTGGTATGAACTTGCCTTGGTTTGGAGTAGATGTAGCCCTGAGTAAAAAAAAAAAGGGCTGCGATGATGGTGTTATCTACAAGCCTCTGCCCGCTCTGGTAGATCCAAGGGAGGACCATGCTGTCTTACCCTTGGCTATTAGAATGGAGAATGGGAGAAAAATAGTCGAAATATAGATGTGGGGTTGTGAAGTGATTTTTCTCACCCAGGCTTTATGGTTCCCTATTGAAAATGCTTATGGCTGCATCTGTGCTGCTCTGATGCTTTGGTAGATGAGTGTCAAGGAGTTATTAAACATAGGTTAAAGCAGTGCTGAGATCATCTGGTTGGGCTCAACCTCTGCACAGCACAAGCTGTAAAACTGCCCTGCTGGGTTCCTACATCCGCTTTACACCTGGCAGCTGAGCAAATTAATCACTGTTAACATGACACGCTTTCAAAGCGTGGTATGAACTTGCCTTGGTTTGGAGTAGATGTAGCCCTGAGTAAAAAAAAAAAAGGGTGACTAAAACCATTTTAGGCATGGGACCACGGGAGGCTTCTTTTGTACGTCCTGTCTGCATTGTCGACTTTAGTCTCATGTCCTTAGTTCTATCTGTGCCCTGAATTGGGCAGGGAGGACAGGTTTGCAAGGATGTACCATGTCTCTTCTTGTGAGCCCTTTGCCTGATCCCTTTGTATCTCAACCCTTCTCACCTCTAAGATGCTGTGTGTTACAGGCCTCTGAGCTCACAGACAATCCTGAAATGCATTTGCATAGAGTCATAGAACAGTTGGGGTTGGAAAGGACCTTAAAGATCACCAAGTTGCAACTCGCCTGCCCTGGGCAGGGACACCTCCCACCAGACCAGGTTGCTCCAAGTCCCATCCAACCTGGCCTTGAACCCCTCCAGGGATGGGGCAGCCACAACTTCCGTGGGCAACCTCGGCCAGTGTGTCACTACCCCCGTGGCAAAGAATTTCTTCCCAAGACCTAATCTAAATCTCCCTTCTTTCAGTTTAAAACAATTCCCCCTCCTCCTATGGCTCCCCTCCCTGATGAAGAGTCCTTCCCCAGCTTTCCTGGAGCCCCTTGAGGGACTGGAAGGGGGCTCTAAGGTCTCTCCAGAGCCTTCGTTTCTCCAGGATGAACAACCCCAACTCTTTCAGCCTGTCAATAGTGATGTGGGAGACTTTAAGTGTCTCCTAGATAATTTGATCTTCTAGATAATCTGGTCTATGGGAGGTGTCCTTGCCCAGGGTTGAGGGGGTTGGAACTTGATGATCTCTAAGGTCACTTCCAACCTGAACCATTCTATGAATTTGTATGAGAAACAAGGCAGTCTCTTGTGTGATCTTGCTTCTGGCTTGGTGTAAACTGGCTGTCTTGTGTCACCTTTGTGAATGGCCTTTGCCATAGCCATCCTCAGTCTCTCTCCCTCCACAGGTGATGTGGCTGCCGGACACGGAGAGGCAGCTGGTCAGAGAGATTGCGCCGGGTTTCCAGCAGACTTCTGGCCTCAAGCTGGACGCAGAGCACATGAGGGAGAAGGGCATCGTGAAGCTCAACCTGCGTTACACCAAGGTCACGAACGAGGATGTCAGGTACAGCCTTTGGTTCGGACATTTTGGTAGCCCGTGTGCTCCATGGGGGGTACATCCCTGTCCCAGCAGCATCTTTTCTCATCATCCCAGGCTTTTGGGATGAAGGTATCTTTTCAGATGGATTTCCTCTTGATAAAGCTTGAGCTGTACAAGCTTGTCCCTACCCATCACCCAGAATCCAGGCGAATCCTGGGAGCGAACAGCTGACTCTAATAACTCCACATGCTAATTCAGTATGCGATGATCCTTTTTGAAATACAAATATATGAATAGTCTGATTCTTATTACGCTGTCAGCCCTGGAAAAAGTGAAGGCTTTTCACACTGACTACCTCCCAGTGCTGTCTTATCCTCATTAGCAGCTGCCCTTTGCTTCTGTTCATCTGCTCCAGAGTTGCTACCACAGAATTTTGATTAGTCCAAAGTCTGGATATGCTTTGAGAAATTTCTCTTTGCAGAGAATTCACCCGTTTCATTACTGTCCTTTGTCAGCTGTTTAGCCTGGTCAGGTCTGCTTTTTAATGAGACTGGCACAGCATGAGGTTCCTCTCCTGCTTGAGCCTGTGTTTGAACCATGTGGTGACTTAGCTCCCAGCTTTGCCCCTTCTCGGAAAGGGCGGATTGTCTCTAGTGCAACTTTTCTATTTTTTAGAGTTTAAATTCTTTCTCCCCGCAAAGAAATACTTGAAAGTGAAAGAGAGTTTCAGAAGAAAAGTCTCTTCAAAGGATTTGTCTTGCTGTACATTTGGGCTGGGAGTAGGGAAAAGCTGAGCCTTTGGCTGTTTGGGACCATGGTTCTATTTAGTGTAATCCAGTGGTGTCTTTCCATGGCTGTCTGCAGTCAGTCCAGTTGCTCACCCTTAAAACCAAGCCTATGCTTTACCTGTGGGATAATTCCTGCCTGTTCCCCTGCCCTCCCACACCTATTTGCTCTATTTAATGGGGAGGACCATATGCCAACTCTCTCATCTATCCCAGCTCATCAGCCCCAGTCTCTCATCAATCCCACCTCAGCTGTTTCCAAAATCAGACCTGTCACCTAAGTGTTTCTTGAACCTTGAAAGCCTTGGGGAGACCAATCCTGCAGCATGAGCCAGAGCAGGCTCAACAAGCCCTGGTATAGCACAGTTCTCTCAATCCTCCCCCCCAAAAAATCAGCATCTGGACGTAACATTGCTGTGACCACCCCTGCCCTTGAGAATCCTTTAGCCCTTGGAGCAGCTTGATCATGTTGGGAGCTTTGAGTTGACCACGTCTTGTACAGTGGCCTCCCACCTCAAAGTGTTTTGCAGACCATAAATTGCAAGGATTAATCTCGGCGCTGGAGATCAGGGATGTGTCTGCTTTGTGGATAAGGAAACAGAGCAATTTATGCAAATGGTATGGGTACGGGGAGTCCACTGTCAGTGCTTGGTTGGCTGCTGACTGCTCTTGTACCCCAGCTTGAAGTTTCAGCTTCTTGGAAAATAACTTTAGGAGGCTGGAAGCTGTAAGTCTGCAACAGTCCCCAAAACAAGGGCACGAATGTTGGAAATGCACTCTGTCAGGTTTTAATTAAGTAAATTGCCCATGAAGTGTTGCAGGCGTCTGAGCCAGATGTTAATTTTGCGTCAACATGATGAGGCGGTTGTTACCAAAACATATTGTGTCCATCATTCATGAGGAAGTATCTGAGATGGTTCGTGGCCTGAGTCAGGTAGCATCCAAGAGGTGAGGAAAGCTTTCAGGTTCATAGAATCATAGAATTGCCCAGGCTGGAAGGGACCTCCAAAGGTCATCTAGTCCCACCTCCCCGCAGTCAGCAGGGACACCCCCAACTAGACCAGGTTGCCCAGGGCCTTGTCAAGCCTCTCCTTGAATATCTCCAGGGATGGGACCTCAACC